ACAAGCCCAAATGATTAGTAATCGCTTTAGCACTTATTCAGTTCTAATCAAAAAGATTACTGGATCATGTTATTGCAATTTTAATTTACAACAAGATTTATTACTATTATTCTCTATTCCAATATCAAATATACAATTATCCAGAAAGAGCTCTAATATGAAGAATATCTGTTAACTCCAATCACAAGTTTTGTTTCCTTCTATTAACAAAATGATGTCCAAGCAATCCGATTCATTTGGGATGAATTAAATCGAGCTGTACTTATAAAACCGATAGCTCTAAAAGCAATCTCTTTTCTAAACTCTATCAATCTCGAAGATTAGGAATACAAGAATATCCTATAAGATAATAAAGACCTTCACAAAACCCTTATATAATTACCCTCATATCTATATAATTTTATTTTCAATTACTATAAACCAATTTATCTACAATAAATCTCAAAAACAGATGTCTCTAAATTCCTTATTAGAAAATCTAAGCTCAGTAATATTGATATATAAGAAAAGCTCCCTTACTGATTACAGAATAAACTATTTGTATTCCTTTTCTAAAATACCGATATTCTTTTATTACACTAAGCCTAGGATTATAAGATCAAATTAATATCCAGAAAAGAGCCCCCTTACTTTAAGAACCAATCATTTTCGCTGTTTGAATTATAGGTGATTTGTAAATGAATTAATGATAATTTTAATAAAAGCTTTATTTACAAATCTAAATCCTATAATACTATACCTTTATTTTTAGCTACAAAGCCTGGCGGCAATATATATATTTGCTAGAACTATTGTAAATTGAACAATATTATAATAAAAAATCGATACCCCCTTTTAATCATTTGCAAAACCCTAAATACACTTTGTAATACTAAAATGTATATTAAATTAAATATTATTACTACCTTTAACAAGATACGGATTACAAAGAGTAACAAATAGAAAACAATATTTATTACTTGCTTCAGGCTCTTCGAATCCCTAGTTATACCATTCAGCCTCTATAATGCCCTAGCCTCTTTTCAATATTATATTAATCATACTTTATTCAATAAACTTGATAAATACTGTACCGCCTATCTTGATGATATTCTTATATATTTGGCGGATATATCTAAACACAAAAACCATATTCAAAATGTAATATAGAAATTAGCTAACACTAGTCTCCAAATTGATATTAACAAATACAAATTCGAAACCATTTCGATATAATATTTAGGACTGATTATTACAATTAAAGATATATAAATGGATCTAGATAAGGTTATTACCATTACCTTCTGGAAACAGCTTTTCTTTATAAAAGACCTACAACAATTTCTAGGATTTGCTAATTTCTACTAGTGATTTATACAAGATTTCTTAAAGATCTGTTGATCACTCAACAATCTAATATAAAAGAACTCGATATAGACCTAAGAGATTGATTAAAAAAATATCTTTTTTACACTTAAAAACTCTTTTACTATAACATTAATCCTTATTTACTTCAATTATAACAAAAAGATAGTTTTGGAAATAGATATATTGAACTAAACATCTGACAGTATTCTCTTACAATACAATTCAAACAATATACTTCGACCTATAGCCTACTTTTCCTTGAAGTATTCAGCAGCTGAATATAACTATAAGATCTATAATAAGGAATTTCTTATGATTATTAAGTCTATAAAGAAATAATATCCAGAACTTCAAAGTTTTTAATACGAATTCGAAATCCTTATTGATTATAAAAACCTTGAATATTTCATAATTATAAAGGTATTCAATTAGCAATAGATCTACTGATCTGAATTTCTCTTTCAATATAATTTCTGTATTGTTTACCAATTGGGATCTAAGGCTATCCGATCGGATACTTTAAGTCGTAAACGGAAGGACCAACCCGATTTTATAATAGGAGATGATGAGCGCCTCAAGAATAGAAAGTATATAGTTCTATTAGCGAATAGATTCGATATCGATCTTTATAATAAACTAACAGAAGGAGTCTGTCTTGCTCCAGCGGATCTCGTTATATTATTCGATAGACCAATCAATGAACTAATCAATATTACATATAAGAGATTAGATATAGTCTAGCAGCTAATTGCTGTAATCAAAGATCCCTTTATTCAAAAGTGGCCTATAGCTTTTAAAAAGATACTACATATTTCTATGCAAGATTGTACCCTAATCGATCACAAGATTTATTATTGTAAAAGATTATAGATTCTATTAAATAACAAACTAAAAGTCCAAATAATTTACAGAATGTACTCCTCCAGCCCTGTAGAATACCCTAAAAGAACTAAAACGATTAACCTCATCTCTCGAATCTATTAATAACCCCAAATACATTAGGAAATTACTATATATATTCAAGTATACCAACTTTATATATACACTAAGTCTTCTAAATCAGCCCCACCTAATTTCCTACACCCTCTATTAATCCTATTCAGAGCCTGATTAGATATCTTAATAGATTATATTATTTTGCTTTTCATTTATACATACTATAACTCCGATTATAAATATATCTTAATTATTATATACTATTTAACTAAAATACAATACTTTATCAATATACATATATTAATTATAGATAAACTTATCAACACCTTTATTAACCATATCTATATACTACATAGCCTACCAGATAATATAATTTCCGATCAAAGGACACAATTCATTTCCAGATTTTGATTCCAATTATCAAAGCACTTAGTAGTTACACTTAAATACTCCTCAACCTTTTATTCACAAACAGATAATCAAACGGAAAGAGTAAACTCGTTTCTGAAACAATACCTCCACACCTTTATAAACTTCCATTAAGATAACTAGATGTAGTGATTATCACTAATTGAATTCGTTTCAAATAATATAACATCTGAAACTATAAGATGCTTTTTATTCTTTGTTAATTACGGATTCAATCTATATTTCAAAGTTGAGCCTAATAAACCATATCCATTAGGAATAATATTAATACAAAAACGCAAATTTTTTAAGGGCAACAAGATTGCTAAAAGAATGGAATGGATTTTATCTCAATTATAGATTCTAGCTTGATAAGCAATTGCGATTTACAAAAAGAATACAAATCGATATCAAACCGATTTACCTTACTATAATATCAGATAAAGAGTTTTCATCAATACTAAAAATATAAAAACCTTTCGAAAAACAAAGAAACTAAATGATTACTGGATCGAATTATACAAAATCTTAAAAGTCTACCCGTACTCTTGTTTTATTCAATTACCAGAAAACATTTATATCTTTCCGGTTTTTTATTACTTTCTTTTTCTTTTAGCTAACAATAAAGAGCGATTCCCTATACAAACAGCAATCAACAAATCAGAGTTAGCTATAACTAGGGACAGAGTTCTCGAAAGAGAGGATGGTGAAGATGAATTAATATAAAAGTGGATTTTCGAAGGAGTTATAGATAATTACAATGAAGATAGCTATTATTATCTAATCAAGTGGAAATATTACACCCCTACCTAACAATCAGCTTCAGATTTGAAAGAAAACGAAAAGCTCCTAGTAGAATACTACTATACATATTCTGAAAAACCCGGACTATCGAAATGGGTTCTGGAAGATCTCACAGCAAAAGTAATCCTTTCGTTAATATCAGTAATTGATATAACAATAAAACCAACAATTCGAAGATCAACTCGACAGAAAAAAGTTAGATTTTCTTGAGACAAAGAATAAACGAACTCTAATCGAATCTGGAGGGGATTAAAAAGAAACTAAAAAGTGATTAAAAAAAAACCAAGAGAAAACTAAGAGAGAACCAAGAATAAAAACAAGAATAATTCTGTCTACCTGCAAAGGGAAATGATGAAAGGCTGTTTATTTTCTTTATCCATTTGATTTAAATATTATAATAAGCACCAGGGTACCAATTCTTCTATTTGCTTAAAACAAGCAAGCTATTAGGGGGAGATACTGTTACGGGTTCAATATGTAGCTATGTAGATGCCTTAGGCATCCGCCCTTCATATAGTCGGCGCCTCTCCGCCTCCTTCTTCACTTCTTGTAGAATATCATACATCTTACCTAGTACCTATCTCCTGCACCGTGATAAATACATAATCTACAATCATAATAGACTTCAAAGTCTGAAGATTCCAAGAACTCTTTCTCAAATCACTTTTCAAGTATAAAAGCTTTACCCAAAATTGGCCTTTGAGATTCTGAGATGATTATGCTATTATAAAAGATTTATCAGGGGTTTAGTTTTGTAAGAGTTATCGAACATACTCACTACACACCGTGATATTTTATAATTTAATTCCTACAAAATTCATCTTTTTTTATATAAATCAAAATATTATATAATTAATAATAATTATTGATATGAAATTATAAAAAGTTTATTAAAAATAATCTAAATTATTGTTTATATAAAAAAATTTCTAATTTATTTTTAAATATTCTTGTTGAAAAGTTATAAAAGCCTTTAATTGAAAAAACTCAGAATTTTAAACTCATAATGCTTTTCCTATACAAAATAAGCAAAATTTTCGAAAATTTTCGAAATTTCAATTTTAACTCTTTACAAACATTATTTTAACAATATTTAAAGATTTCAGATAGCTTTTTCGATAATTTAAATGATTCTAAATCTTTCTATAATATTATATTTAATTTCATCTTATATATTTATAAGTAAATTGGGGTATAAAAAGCTAAATAATTGTATATTTTAGCTGGAAAAGTGTTATATATACGTTAAGCAGGTTCCAGAACTCTTACTCATACGGATATATATTCATAGATGTCTATAGTGTGAGTCTCAAGAAGATGATGAAACCTTAGAATGATTATCAGCTCGCTTATTATTAAGATACAAAAATCTGATCTTAATGCGATGAATGTTAAACTAACCTTGTAAAAGGTAAATTTAATTCGTTGGTGAGTTTTGAAGGATGCAGGGCGAAATTCATAGCAAAAAAGGTCAATATATGCCACACATTGTAGATTACAAGCAATTTGAAATGAAATTAGTTCCTCCCTTCATATTTGTGATGTCTATCGATCTAGGGTATCTATTTTACAAATCTTCCCAGAAGCTTTTTTAGTCTACCCCAGATTATAATCATTTTTATCTTCTCCAATTTATCCATCCATCCATGTATGTATCTACCACAAAATAAACACCAGTATGATTTTGACCAAAAACTCCACCAGATCAATGCCTCAAGCTCTACTGGACAATCTGGCCGTAGAGAAGCCTGTCAAATAAAAAGTAGAAACAGCTTTTGACAATCCCGTTCCAATCCAATCATATACCCTTTATACACCCAACTCCCCTACTCTATATTACATACCGTGCCACCATCCCGACCCTCTTAAACTACTCCTAAAGAGCCCATAAAAGCCCCAAGCCAAGCACACCGGCCAGTAAGCCCGATCCCGAAACGTCCATATTTCTTCCAGCAGCCGCCGTGACTGTGGCCTTGGTCGCCGAGGCTGAAGCTGTTGTTGATAAGCTCATAGTTCCTTTCGAACCGGTACCCGAAATGGTAGGCGCTCGCTGTGTAGTAGTATCAATCAGTAAGGCGGTTGAAGATTTAGAAGGCGCAGGCAGAGCAGATGTAACAGGAACAGGGGCCGATGAAGCAATTGTAAGACGACTGGACAAAAACGAGGATGATGCAAACCAAGCAGTAGAGTTGGCATATACTGATGTGTTGCAAGATACAGTGGTGCTGTGGAGAATACTGACTGTAGTTGTGGTATCAAGAACAGGCGCAGGGGTTGTAACAGCAAAAGTCGAAGTCTTTGGTTTAGAAGAAGTGATAGGAGAAGATGACTTCAAAGTAGACGAAGGGACTGCAGTGGAAGATTTTACTTCTTCTGAAGTAAGTGTAGAAGGCTGTGCGGTGAAAGAGGGAACTTCGGGGGAAGAGTATACCGTAGAAGAAGAACTAGTCGAGCACGGAACTGTGGTACTTTCCAGGATGGTATCGGTCACAATTACGTCTGTGGATGGATCAGTTGTTGCGGCGCTGGTAGCACTAGCGGTTGCTTTCACACTACTGCGACTTGAAACACTGGATTTGCTGCTAGTGCTAATGACGGCGGATGAAGAAGATGAAGAAGACGAAGAGGCTGAAGAGGCTGGCGAAGAGGAAGAAGCTGGCGAAGAAGAAGTTGATTGAACAAATGCTTGGCCTTTGACGATTGGTGGCGCGGCGGAAGAGACAAGTAATCCTTGAATGACTTCCAGAGCACTCATCTGTTGTCCAGGGCCGGATATTGCATCATTCGATCCCGTATACCATTTTGTACCACAAGCATTAGCATCACCAGCGCAAATACTAGCCGCTGCAGATGCTGATTTGGTGAGATATGACGTGATAGTGGCTTTTGTAAAAGGTGCCATTTGAGTAGTTGCCCACATGAACCGTGCGAGATACGCCTTGAAGGAAAATTGATCATTGTTGCAGGTTGCTAATTCTTCGCATGCTTGTTCGTACATGACACTATCGGATGTGAAGAAATTGGAAGAGGCTTTTAATAAACCCTCGGTTCGTGTTTGCCAAGTGGAACTGGTAGTGTAGTTGTACATGACAGCGGCTCCGTACAGGAAAAGGGCATTGTTGTAACTCCAGGTAATTTTATTCGGATTGGTACAAGCTTTGGATTCATCGGCACCGTCGAAAGTGTTGAAATTTGAATCAATAAATCCAATCTTGGTAGTCCAATCATAAACCTTTTCTGCCCAATCGACGTATGTTTGATTTCCGGTATAGCGTGCAAGGCGTGCCGAAAGTTGAAAGAAAGCTCCATTAGAAACCGAGTTTTTATATGTATATCCATTATTGAATGAGAAAATCTGCCATTTCAATCCACCACCACAAGCCGAGGTATCCCAGCGAGCAGCTTGGGTATTCCACAGATTCTCGGTCAATTCTACCCACGTAAATCCGCCCGTGTTGGAGGGCTCCGGGAAATTCTTTTCTGCAGCAGACATGGTAGACATTCCCCAAAACGCTTGGTCGTCGTTTCCTTCATCCTTTTGGTGGTTCGGCATCATGTAATCGAAGAGCGGGCCAGCTTGAGATGCCAAAGCTTGTGTTGTGATATCATTGTAGGTAGCATCCCCAGTGTAGTGATAGTAATCGAGCATGGTTCCCCACATGGCACCAGCCTCCCACCAGTAGTAGGGCGCTGGCAATACCGCAATGGTATCTGGTGTATTGGTGACATTGCCGGTATAATATTTCATGAGGCCATATGCAATGGTGCCTGCTACGTTTTTGATTGAAGCTGTACACACGATTGTCAGTAGGGGCTGTAAGTTTTGTAGAGTCAACGATGAAAAAGAATACGTACTTGGATCAGAGGTATCGAGTTTGAGACCAGATACGGATTGAGAAACAGAAAATGCCAGGAGAAGGCTCCTTGAGAAACTTTTGGGAAACATATTGTTGATTATGAAGTAAAGAGAGAGAAAGAGAGAGAGATAAAAATGAGGATCAAGATCAAGCTGTCGAAAGATCAAGAAAAAAGTTGTTCCGACTTATTTAGTAAGTAGCTAGCTAAGTACGGGTACTGAATAAATAGTTTGGAAGAAACTCTTGGTACCTGGTTTCCAAGAGATTATGCAATGCCAAATAATGAATCATCCAAAGTCAAAAGAAGGACAAAATATGGGGGAGTGAATGTATTTGTTGAAGATGATATCGAAAAGGAACGTGTGGAGATTGGAAAGAAAGATGTTTCTCGAAAAGAATTGGTTGAGTGGAAAATATAAAGTATCATCGAGGGGTTCGTCCGATCTTTCCCAATTGGGCCTTGTGAAGAATATGGGGGCGGCTGTTTCGAAAGATAACCTTGGCACGTGCTAGGGTAATTGTTGGTGTGAATTGAGGGTAAGTGATGAGCCAATCAAAAGTGGGAAATGGTTCGAAGCTAAGATGATCTGAAGCGAAGCGAACCGCGATCGGTGAATGGGGTTGGAAGTGAATGTTGGATATGACGATGATATTGGTTGGAAGTTTAGTCCGAGTCCAAATGAGTGAAGATCAGCTGACGTGAATGGCACGAAACGAAACAAATCAAAACAAATCCAATTTTGAGGAGGATGTGAGTAGGTACCTCGGGAAAAGGAAAGAAAGGGAAGAGGAAGAAGGGAAGGGAAGGGAAAGGAAAGGACAAGAAAAATGAAGAGAAGTCAGAACAAATTGGAAGGATGGGTTGAATGATAGGCCATTGAATGCTACTTATTCACCTTGAAATACATATGAGCATAGCCACCCGATTGTTATTTGATATTTACCCAGATGCTTACCCACCCGACCAAAGGAATTGGTGATGAAGGAAGGAAGGTAGGATTTTCAAGTGATACGACCCGAGTAATCCTCCATTGATAAAGGAAGAGATTGATTCCACTCCTTGTATGACTGTATAACTTGTCGCTTTCAAGAACGCATCATGGCAATGGCAAAGACTATCTAGGTACTAGGTAGGTATGAGGGTACCTGGTGGATAGAATGGAATAAATATGTGCACGTGATTGAGGTGTTTAGAAAGGGCGATACCAAACCAACAAACACCGGCATATTGATTGTTGATGTGACGGGGAAGAAGAATACGAATTTGAAATACTCAATCCCGCAGAATAATGATGGATGATAGTGAATGTCCAAGATTGTTCTCCAATTAAGCTTTTGGATCGAGAGATGTACCCCGTAGTATGAAGTCAGGAATGGAATGTCATAACATGTGGTGGTGGATCGTCAGTGCAGATAATTTCATCGCATCTATCCTGACTTATCTCATCCTCAGACCACACGGTGATTACATAATAAAAATAGGCTTGAGGCCTTGTTTTCGAGGTAGGGGCTTCCCAAAGGTTTATTGTAGGGTCTGAAACAATTTGGTTCTAACTTTGGTATGAATAGTAACAATTCAGCTTTTCTGATTTTTCAATTAATATTATCAAATTATATAATCATTATAGAATTCTATTACAGATTTATTATATAGAGTTGATTTTTCTTGTTATTTTGATATAATTTTTATTATTATAGCTTTATTGGATTATATACTAATACAGCTTTGAAAATTAAAAATAGCATTTTTAAATAGTAACATTTCAATAAAATAAGTCCTTAACCCTTTCAAAATCAATTATTATTATTATTATTTTAATTAAATATATTTATATTTTAGAGATCTTATAATCTATTTCATTCTTTTTATATAAACAGAATTCTAAATAATAAAGGTAGTTATTAGTTTCAAAGAGGTTAGATACTTTTAGCTTTAAAATTCAATCTCTATTCGAAGTTCAAATACCTTAAACTTAAAGTATTTGGACTTCAAATTGAAGAGCTATTCAATTTCTATCGATAATATAATCCTAATACTATTAATACTATTAAAAAAGCTATTAGTATATTTAATTCAATAAAGCAATTCAATTAATATTATTTTTATAATTAATATAGATAATTGAAAATAATTGAAAATAATTGAAAATAATTGAAAATAATTGAAAATAATTGAAAATAATTGAAAATAATTTAGCTAATTGAAAAAAAAATTCTTTTTAAAGAAATTTTATAGCAATTATAAATCCAATCAATCTAAAGCTGATTCATATAATAATATTATTTGAGCTTTTTCGAATATATTAATTAGTTTTTTAATAAATAATAATTGAAAAGGTAATATATATTGTTGAAATACTTTTATCAATTAGATTCAGTTCCTTATCAAAAACACAACCAAATATTCTCAGACTTTTGAGGAGATAAACGTTCCCCCCGATCTCTGATTGGCCAAAAAAAAATTCGATCATTAGTAAGCCACAACACCAAAAAGATCAACATGAAAAACCTAATACGAATCTAATTAAAAACGATTTATCGACGAAGAGGGTTTGAATGTGAGATAAATCCTGACTTATTTTTAGAATGTCACTATCACGTGCTTTCAAACTCACGAGCACAGTTCACTTATCACCCTCCCACCATCCCCTTCCCAGGTAACTCCACCAATTTCAATCGAATCTCAAGCCACAGAACAATGCAACATCAAGACGCGAATAACTTCGTTTTCCCTTCATCACCATAACCATAACCACCTTGTCTCATCATCTCTCATCCTACAGGATTCTACTCCCATGCAACAGCAAGCAGCAATGGATTATCAATCCATACATGGCCCCGGAAGATCAAATTTCTCTTCGTCTTCCCCACGTAAATGCTCATTTCATCACAATTCCTTACGCCACAACACAACACAAGTGATAGGCTGACACATTCCAAGATCGTATGCCTACCGTTTCCGCCGCCCAAGCTTTGCAAGATTTAGAATCATCACCAACGCGTTGCATTCCCACCGGTTTGGCGAGTTTGGATTTAGCTCTCCAAAACACAGACCCATTGCAAGTATCCACAAGTGCGGATCAAATTTATGGAGGCATTCCAAGAGGAAAAGTGACGGAAATTTATGGTCCGCCCGGCGTTGGCAAAACTACTCTGGGGTAATGGAACACACTCTCAAGTGTCCATATGGATGACCATGTATGCTAATTACATATAGCATGCATTTGGCAGCCAGAGTTCTACATCAGAATGAACATGTTGTTTGGGTAGGCAAGTCATCTTTCATCTATTTGATATTTCTTTTATAAGCATTTGCTATTTGTCCATCATCTTGCATTCCGATTCCCTTGCTAGATTTCCACTTCAGACAGATCTCGATTATTTATAATCGCTACCATGTATGCCACTTTTAGTACCAGAGATCCCCAGAATGTACTCTACTAACACTCCCAGACGCGTCACATCCAATATCTGGTCCCAGGTTCAGTCAAATTCTACAAAAACTTCCATCTTCAGAACCTCTCAATAACGACACCCTTCTAAGCAACTTCATTCATTTCACAACGCCCACTCTATCTCATCTTCTTGCCTTACTTACTCACACCACACAAAACTTTCCCCCTGAAAATACTAGTCTGATCATCATTGATTCATTTTCTACTTTAATCGACAGTGCATTTCCTCGGAATGCTGACTCTACATCGACTCCTAAGAAGCCAGGAGGTATGTTACAACCCAAAAATGTTCACATCATCACATGTCTACCAGCTACATCCATCTCATCTTCTCATGTTGCCTTCTATCACTAGACTAACCTTAACAGTTCCCAACCCCTCCTCGCGCAAGTTTCCCCTCCTCCAATACCTCATTAATGCTCTCCAAAAACTTGCTACCACCCGTAATATCGCCATAATAATCCTCACTCAATGCGTAACCAAAATGCGACCCGGCCTCGGGGCAGCCTTGATACCATCAATCTCAGCTACTGCATGGGAACAAGGCCTTGGGTGTCGAGTGGCTTTATTTAGAGATTGGGGGTGGGACGATGATGAAGGAAATAAAGTAGAAGGTGTACGGTTTGCACAAGTCAATAAAGTGGACGGTACGACTTTATCTGAGGGAAGAGGAATATTTGCTGCTTTTGTCATTGGAAAAGTGGGCATCTCCTCCATTACACCTAGTCAAGGATCTCCTTTACTACCTAGACCCCCACCCGCCGTCGCTCTCCCTACTCAAAAACGTAAAAGAGCTGAGTTCGAGATTCCGGATAGTGAAGATGATGAGGATTATGGATGGGCGGAAGAAGATGAAGAGTTACCACCGATGCCTCCTCAATGGCAGGGGAGCGAGGATGTATTAGCACCTCCCCAGGGAGATAGCGAAGATGAATTAGCTCTTTAGATGTAGCTCGGTCCACCACAATTATCTGTGAAATCCAAGCATACTGCCATCATCTCCAACCAAATTCAGAGTTATCAATTATCCAAAGTACAGCTCGACACTCGTATGCATCCAATTATACATATAGTTGAGACATTCAAATGTTTTGGGTCGTCGAGTTCACTTTGTATATTGGTACTTAAAGCTCATTCAACAATTTGAAGCTACAAACACCTCAACTGTATTTATGGTGTCATTCGAGACATCAATTCCATGAGTAATTTATTTTCAATATTTCCACACATGCTTCCTTATTTCTAGAATCCCAGAATTTAGCCTCCAAGTTTAATGCAACACGGGTATGATTTATCTCCTGGTTCCGAATCGTCTAATATTTTATCAATATTAAATGCCCCCTTTATTTCTCGCTTGATCACTATTCTCGAACTTCCAAAATGACATCTCGTAGGTTTAGCCCCCACCACACCCATCATATACCTCAGAGCTTAACAACACCCTCAAGTTTAATTTCTAAGATATGTCTCTTCCAGTTGATAGACTCACGAAGCTATCTCAATGATTGCATGAAGGACTGGTCTTGCGAGGTATATATACCATGCGAATTGAGGTTCGGCGGGACTGCTTGTAGTCTTACTTTGATTGCATTCACCATGTACTTACTTGCCATGCTTTTTTGGCGGAAGGCCGTCAATAACTCACTATCCAGCCCGCCATTGAGAGATGCCTATTGTCCACTAGTATCAACCACAGTGCCCCCCAGATATTGACATGAGTGAATTCACGGATGCTGAAATTGAACACTATGTAAATTACCTCCAATTTCAACATCTCAGAAGGGGAAATTACCATGCGGGGTATCTTCATGCTCGCTTGAATGCTCGAGCTACTCGTACACGGCATGGGAAGGAATGGTTCACTCTCGATTAACCACCCTGATAATACTTTCTTGTCCTGCTGCGACTTTGCATATATCTTGTATCGTTACACGTGGTCCTTCCAAGTTACATTCGTTTTTACACCAAAATCTTACATTGAGCATCAAGCATCCTTCGTCACTTGAACTAGATTCGAGCCTCACATCTACCATCATGAAGTGGGCGATTGTCTCAAGTTTAGTGCTCAGCTTGGCTCTTCCTGTCATTTCTTCTCCTGTCTCTGCGGATAATGTACCACACAAGATATATAACGGAGAAGATGACTACTCAAAGTCTCAAGTACGAGGCGCCAATGTAGAAATTGTCTCTTCCCTAGAAGAAAGACAGTCGGCATTAGATCTTGGATCTTTTCCCCTGGCCTTTCATCTACCACCCAATTCTGTCATGTTCCAGGTGTAAGTTACTGTTATGAAATCTCAATATGCAAGCTCCTGCTGATCTCAAGTTTCTCAGTGCAGTAAAAGCCACACCTGGTGAGGGAGGAAAAGTAACAGGATCCATCAAGGCAATTTGCGTGGAATGTTTCACCACCGGCAATGCAATCGTTACGACTACTTATTATATGCAATGCGTATAATAAGCGGGCACTGGTCCCCAACATTTGTTTTCACTTCCCTAAATCGAATATATCCATCTTTGTAGAATAAAAAGTTACCTGCTAGAGCCTCTAGAGGCCTAGCCGTCCTATATAGTCTTAGACTGAACGTGGACGTAAATGAAATCAATCAATCAATCGTTACGACTACCGGAGTGGAAACGGATGATTCCATCTTAGGAGACTTTCTACATTTCCTGACAAACCCCACGGAATTCATCGTCGACGCACTCGATCTGAACCTAAGACTCGGTTTTCTAGGGGTCACTGGACATTTCGAGATAGACATTGCGTTCGCCGTAGCAGGAACTTATACCGTTCCTATATTCACATCAGAAAGTCTTCTCGGTATTCAGGTAAGTGCAACCCCATATTCATGCTCACGCCTTTCTTGTTGACATATTTATGTAGTTTTAGCTTAATGACAAAGACTCGATTGGATTGATATTTGAGATTGAATTGGTGTTTACAGTCACTGCACCGGTGGACGTTATTACTGGTTTTGAAGTAGAATTCCCAGATGATACGTTCATCATCCTAAATTCACTCAGTGGAGAGCTGGTAGAGGAGAACCTGTATGTAAACCTCATTTCTATCAAACCTTCATGAATATCTTTCTCGTCAAAATTAACAAAACACAGGAAAGTAATCAAAGCGAAATCCATATCGGCAAAATTCAAGTCCGGAGCTGGATGCTTCAGTGTAGCTCTCAGATTCAAACTAAAGGCGGGTACCTCTGTAGAAGTCTTCAAATTCGGGTTCAAATTCGAGGCAGGCGCATACATAGACGCTCCTCTATACAAGGCTTGCATTACTTACCAGCCAGACCAACCATGCACCCTTAATTTTATCGAGAATTTCATAATCGATGTTGCTGTCTATGCCGAAGCAGCAAAGACAATCGACTATTTAACATGGGCAGCTGGGCCCATCTTGGTATCAACTCTGTACGTTGCGCCGTTGCCTTCAACGTGCTTTATCAGTACCACTCCATCAATTCAGAATGGTCTTGCATCTTCGACAACAAGCAATCCTATGACTTCAACGCCAGAACTTGAAACAATGTTGAGTAAGAGTACATACGAGATCCCTTCCACGACTATCCCATCATCCTTAACCAATTCTACAACATCTTCTTCCTCTCCTAAAGAGTTGAGAAGCAGAACAGAACCTTTCCCCACAAATTCGAGCAATTCTACGGTTACAAGGGGGATTTTATATGGTTCCGATGTCTCGGCCGCAGCGACAGGTACACACAGCGGAGCGAGCTCAGGAACTTCAATGGTACTATTTCCAAATTCAACCAGTGGCTCCATCTCGCATACCCGCCCCGTTCAAACATATGGCAATAAGACCGAACCATCTCCTGTCGTTGCGATCAAGATATCCAGTTCCTCTGATTCTACTATCACAAGTGGGGCGCCATTCCGATAGCTACTACCGACCATATCATTATCGTGCCCATCGAGAGCAAGGAGCATGATGATTCCACATCTATTTCAGATGATCTTCCAACCATCACTGTTGATTCTACAAGTACTTACACCATCTACAGCTGTGCAAAGGAGGCCATCTGGTGTCCATCAACCCTGCTCTTTCCACTGGTTCTGACAAAGACCATCACCGAATCCACAGCCACCGGCTCCTCATTCAGCTCCCCAATAAGAACCTCCCCCATTCGTAAAATTTCAGATCAACCATCTCCCACCTCTAACTCTCTCTTTCATTTTGCTCCACTCCCCGCTATTGATCCCTCCCAGTTCACCAGCTCACGCTCCGCTCTGAGCACTAGTACCCCAACCGTCAGCATCACCGACGATGTAACATTCATCGCTTGCCCCACCCCTATTATCGAACAAATCGAAACCACCATAATCTATTCAACAATAGGTATCTCCATCGCCGCATATTCGCCTACCATCCCCCAAGTCATCAGCGGTAGCACCTGGTATGTACCCGGACAAAGCCTATGGAATTCACCAGGTCCTGCTACATCTACTGCCACAACTGGAGAACCCGGAGGACCAGAAGGGTACCCTGGCGTAGCTAATAACGCTCTTTCTAGAAGAACCGGAACTGGTACGATTGAGGCAGATCTGAGTCGTGATAAAATCTGAGGACTAATTCCAAGAACGATTACAGAGACAGTTTCGACAACGGGTAGAAGATGGACCACTAGTAGTACTAAGACGACTGTGTCAAGTATCAGCAGAGGTGGTGGTGGATAGGTAGAAAACATGATCTATTGGAGATGAAACAAAAAGCCGTGGTGAAAAAGTCTAGCGACTGTACTGTAGGAAAATCTGGCATTTTCCCTGGTAGTGTTACTACATCGATAGATGTGATCATACCTTAATACTATTTAGGCAGCGAGGGGTTTTGAAAACTTTAAAATCGGAAGTTTGAGCTGCAGTGGGTGTGATGGATTCCCATACTTATTGATGTTCAATTTCCAAACAATTCTCATAAGAAATGACACGATTTGCCGCAAATGATAATCTGTGAGTGTGTACCTCTTCCGGCCTCTCCACAATGATTGAGACAGGTAAATAAGACTGGTAGCACCCACCCGGCACAACAGATGCTGTACTATAAGCAACAATCCCCCTTCAACTCATGCCAATGATTTAGACTTTGATACCGCCTAGGTAATTAGTGACCATGTCTTCGACTTCATGGAGAATACTGTCTCGTCCTGCAATTTTCGGAAACTTTTGAATCCGAACTTTCGGCATGCTTTTCAGATAGCTCCCCCAGTGTGCTCCATTGCTTAGCTAAGGGAACTAGCGAGTTTGTGCTTCCATTGTTAGAGATTCCAATAGTCCAAGATACTAAATCGACTTTGTTTGTCGGTAACATTGGCCAGATTCATAGAAAAGGAATCTATCACGAAGAAACAAGCGATATCTTTCAAAGCACAGATGATCATTACACCTTCATCCAAGTCCAATTAGTATCGGAAATCTACAATAGTTACACAGAAGTAATTTCATCTAAATTGTAGGACCAAAGTAGTACATAAGAGAAGAAATGAATTATCCTCACCGATTGCTACGAGAACAAGCCTTTTGCGCCCTCTGCGATCTTCGAGTCTGTTTTCCACAGTTCTCACTTCTCAATCTTGCCATCACAGTTTCACATACTGCTCGTACAAACGCCAAACTCCTGTGTATCACCCATCACCTTTATTTAGCCGTTCAAATAGCTTCTGATGGCACCTTGCAGTTTGCTTGCACCCTCCCCAAGGACTTGTGTTAAGTTATCCAAATCATCCCCAGCTGTGACACCAAATTTTCTGACAAAGTCCTTTGCAGCGGTCTCGAGATCACCGTAATCTTCTCCGCCCTCTTCTTCTTCAGGTCTTCCGAAATAAGCGTTAGATGAGATAGATGTGGCACCTTCAAAACCTTGTAGGCGAGTTTTGGCTTCTGATTGTGCGCTCGGATCAAATGACCCCTTGCCGAAAAACTCATCGGATGAGATACCTTTTTGGCTGCCGAACTTTTGACGAGCGTATTTCTCATCATCATCTGTAGAAATGTTAGCTCTGAGGTTAGGAGGTTGTGAATTTTCGAATGTAATCTCTTACCTTCTTTTGTGGCCTTGATAGGCCCAACTGAGCCAAAACCGCCCATCTTCTTCTGTGCAGTAGCTGCAGGTTTTGAGCCTCCAATCTGTCCAAATCCAAGTCTTCCCATTCCCATTCCGAGTCTTTCAACCTCGCCATTTGACCGTTCTCTGCTGTGACCAGAACCGTACCCTGCCCTTCCTGGGCTCACAGGTGTTGGTGCGGCAATGCTCGAAAGATCAGCTGCCTTGGCGGTTGACTTCTTTGTCGCAGCTATTTCGGCCTCAGGATCATAGCCTAATTTCTCAATTCTCTCGGCTTCCTCCTTTGCCTTACGCTCGGCGGCATCAAAATCAATTACATCTCCAGTAACCTTCTTAGCACCCAGCTTGGTTTTCTTGGCGCCGAGGACATTTGCTTTTCTTGGTCCGGTCCCTGTTGTAGCGCTTTTCCGCAACGCAGCAGACGATGTGATACGGCTAGCCACAGGCGCTGCAGCTGCCCCTTCTGTTTTTCCTAGTGGTGATGTTGCTCTTGCGATTCCGTTACCAGCGGCATTGGCACCGGCATTGAGGAATGGGGAAGGGGTTCGTCCAACAACAGGTGGTGTGGCAGTTCGAGAAATTGGGGGTGTTGGTCGCTTGATCGAAGGCTTATCCCAGGAAGAAAAGAAGTCATCATCAGGTTCGCCGGCAGGTGTAGAAGTTCCGTCAGCGGCATCAGTCGCCGCATCGGTAATAACGACTTCGTTGGGGTATCTGTACATCAATCAGCATTGACATTTAACATCCGCAGTAAATGGCATACTCTGCAGCATCCTTGGCAGCACGTCTCTTCAATTCTTCCTTGTATTTCGTGGCCGCGTTCGACTGGTATTTAGTTTTAGGGTCCTTGCTATTGAGTGCTGCAGTACCTCCATTTGATTGAAAGTATTTCGTGGCAGATTCGTTACCACCAACTTTCATAACCCGAAGTTGATCCCATTGCCATTCTGGTCACATTGTTAGCCCCGGGTCCTATCCAAGGTCGTGCCCTATACCTACGATCAAGGTTTGTCGATCGCACAAAGGAGATGTGAACACCCAAGTTGCGATGATTCGATGAACAATCAAGGCAGAGGTAGATTCCAAAAGGCACAGACGTCCATGTTGGATTCTTTGCCCCACAATCAAAACAAATCTATTGCGCAAAAGTATATCAGCACATGCATCATGAATGCATTTGTTCAGAGGAGGTTTGTCTTGCGTACCCTATTTGCTGGCTTTGTCTTTAACTTCTCGAAGAGCTTTTGGGATTGCGCCTTCGAAGCAAGAGCTGCCATGTTTGATAGCCTTCTAATATGTGTAGATGTTATTATCTCTGACGGGAAGTCTTTGGAGTTGTGTAGAAATAAATGACCCCTTTCTGTGATCGGATTCAAATTATTGTTGTAGTCGAGGGGATGGCCAGATTGCCATGGCGTTCGCACATCAATTAAGGTTCAAATCCACTAAGCTTAATTTGGTAAAGCGGTGTGAGGTCAGATTACAGGCATAGATTAGGTAATTTATTTATTTATTTATTTATATTAATTAACGTCTGTTTTGAACCTCCCGAAGGGTATTTAGACGTGCCAGGATAAAGAGTTACAAATATAGAGGAGCGCTGATGCACACACTAGTAAAACCTCAAAGGGAAAATCTAGTTCCTTCTATATCGCCTGAATCTAACAGTTTATTATCAATAAGAAAAGCTGTTCGCTCCTTTACGATCACAATCGCTAAGTTGAAACAATCACCTCAGAGATTGGTCTGAAGAAAAGAATAGTAGGTTCAACAAGTGAGCCTGGTTATATACTCCCCTTTACAGCTAATAATCAGAAGAGCATGGTTGAATGCCATTTGAATAGCTAGGCATTAACATTTGCATACACTTTGATAGAGCATATAGAGTCAGCCTTTTGGACCTAAAAGCTTTCTCCTATCAGGCAAGCTGATCTCTCTTCCATTACACAATATCCTTCCTCCTTTCCTTCCTCTCGTTGTAATGATATTGTTGTTGTAAGGGATATAGAGCTCGGTTGCTCTGATCATCGTTTATAGGAATAGGGAGTGAGCTTAGTGGGGGGATAAGGTACCCCACTTTTGCGAAAAGCTCTTCATCTCCTATCCTGATTGAGCGAAAGAAAAGTGGATCGCGTAATGAAAATTCAGATATCCAGAAAAGTGCGAATCTGCCGAAAATGTGAAGAACGTGCTATAAGCACCGGCGAGTATCCTTCTAAAACCTTCCTCCTTCTAACCGCTGTCAACCCAGCCTCCTACTCAACTAGGTTGATCCAAAGTATTTCCTTGCTCACTATTTACTATATACCACCCAACATATAGTGCCCTACACAGTCTGTATTTCCTTTATATCAAGATCTCCTAGAAGGCACCTAGTAGGTAGGCCACTTATTGTTCTTCTGTATATTCGGCTCGGCAATTTGTCCTAAAATAGGTATATCGTAATCGCTCGTTCGCTCGCTCGTAGTCGCTGCACACGTTTTCATACACTTCGCAGAGCTGTTTCATTCGTCCACCTCGAGGCATTCCGTTGTCGTGCGAGTCCTGTTGGCTCTGAGTACTCTCACTCCATTCGATCGAGGTGCACAACTCCTCTTTCTTCAGTAGTAATACCCTCAGGTTCGTATAGATTAGGTAATGACAGGGTATTAACGTGGTTTATCAGCATATGCACCATATCAGCATATACACCACTTTTACCTCAATTATTATCTTTCCATTTCAATACACAATTTATTAATAATTTATTATATAATTGAATAATAAAGAAATACAAATACTTTTAGCTATTAGAATTATTCAAAGAAACAAAAACTAAGTATTCAAAAAACTGCTAAATTATAATATATTATATACAACACTTATCTATAGAATGAATGGTTTGATTTTTTGTATAGAATTTCGATCAAAAAGTTATAATTTGATTATTTTGAAAAAGGAAGTTATTATTTAATATATATTTGATATGGATGATAAAGGATTTAATTTTAGAATAAATGATATAGAAAATATAGCGAATAGTATTTTGGAATTGAAGGGTAATAAGAAAGTTGGAAAGCTTTAGGTGAATCGATTTATATAACAATATTTGGATTTAAAGATATGTTTTACTTGTGTTTATGATTTCCAAAAAGCTTTCTATAAAGATTCAAAGCTTATTTATCACGCTAAAAGTGATATCACCGATAGCATTAAGCTAATTGGGTTTATATAGGCATATTCTCTCGTGACCACACCCCCGAGATTGCTGACTAGCTGGTTGTAGGCAGTAATCTCCGTACTAGCCTCATTGAGTCATAAATGCGCAAATCTCTTCCTATCTCCATGTGATGCCAAATCTAGGTTCTCTTTTGATTGGATACAACTAGTATTAGGTTCTCTCTGGATACATCTAATAGGCTGAGCGGAGATAGTGGGGCAACAGAGCAGGATCCTCACATTAGCTCCAATAGGCCAAGATCAGATGACTAATGTGGGTCTGTTGAAATACCCTCTTATAAGTGGGCCCACGAAAAACCACTACAAGAGAGTACGGTAAAGTGAAGAATTATGCCACTGCGCTATAAACGCATACCGGGCTCATAACTATCACGCTAAAAGTGATATCACCGATAGCATTAAGCTAATTGGGTTTATATAGGCATATTCTCTCGTGACATTATTAGAAAATGATTTCGGTTGGTAGTGAATATGTGAACCAAATATAATATTTTCGATTGCAATTTTTATAATTTTAATAAAATCGGTTTTATAATAGAACAAATATTATTGTATATAGTAGTTATTAGAGTTAATCAATGTAATAAAAGTAAAGCTATATAATTTGACAATTGAGAATGGGCTATAGCGATTATTTATATAAATAAAGAGAATCACAATATACCTCCATTTCTACTAATTAAAAGCAAATATCACCTTTCAAATTGATATACTGAAAGCAGTTTATTACATAATTAGATTATAAAACCTACTTTCAATAAATAGATAGATAATGAAATTGGTTTTGAATGGATTAAGTATTTTGATAAGTATATTATAGGTAAAAAAGTAGGTGGATATTGTATACTAATATTTAATGAATATGAAAGTTATCAATCTGTAGCTTTTCGGAAATATTGTAAGGAAAACAATATTATATTATTTGGTTTATTGTTTTATTCTTTGTATTTAATTCAATTATTTGATATCAATTGTTTTAATTCTTTAAAGTATTTGTATAGTTGATAGATCGAGAATTTTATTAAGATACATATCACCTATATTACCAAAATCGAGTTTTTTCAAACTTTCAAAAACTGTATATACTAAAGCAATATCAATATCAAATAGGAAAGCTGGATTCTGTAGAGCTGGGCTTATTTTATTTGATCTGGAAACTGTACTTTTAAAACTGAATATTCGAATAAGGATTTCATCAAATAGGTCAATCTTAACTGATTCTGGAATATAGCAATCTCAAATACTTTATAATCCTACCAAAACTCTTTCTCAATCTATTTTAATCAAAGTTGTATTGCACAATATCTAAATAGTTCTCCTATACCTATATTTAAGATAATTGCAGTTTTGGCTAAAGGTATAAAGCTTCTAGCTTATACAAATATACTTTTAACTACTAAGATTTATAATTTTTGTAAAGCAAATAAAGTATTTAGTAAACATTATAAAGCTCAAAAGGCTTTTATATAAAAGGAAGGAATTCTTTTAATAGGAAATGGATATAATATATTGGAATAAGAGAATGTAGATAATCAAATACAATACGATGAGTATACAAATAGTAGTTTTTCAATAAAGAGGCAATCTGTTATACAATGATATAGTAAATGTGGTAGTGTTTTATATAATATAAAAACTTGTCAATTGGATCCAGTATTAATTGATTTTTAGATTATATATAATTTGATTCTATTTATAGTGTTGTTGTTATTTTATATCAATATAATGTGGGTAATTGAGGTAAAAGTGGTGCACATGCTGATATGGTGCACATGCTGATAAACCACGTTACAAGCTTGAAGCTCTAGATGATGATTAACATGTAAATTTGAAGGAATTTAGAATTGGTATTAACCAGTGCACCTCATTCCAGCCCAAGAACGTTTGAATGTCCCTGTTTGAAAAGGATATTCAAATCATTGCTAAGTAACCCTTTATAATCCACCCATTTTTTTCCCAGTTGTTTAAATGGTAAATGTTAAACACCACCTCATCCCGGCCCAACAATGTTCTCAATGTCCCAATTTGAACCGGATGTTTACATCATCGCCAAGTGACCCCCAAGAATTTACTTTTCCCCGGCCCATTATTTGTTGAATTTGCGTTCTGAAGGTATATTCTTTGATGCCCTTTCACGTCCAAGAATAAGTACTTGTATGCGAATTCACTCTCAGACGGTCGCTTGACCATGTGTAGGTTCACCACACCTTGATTGAGCGGACCCTCGACGTTGAAATGCATAACCAGATGTTCCACCCCTCTACGATCCTTCGAAATGTTGGATCTTAATGAAAGTTAGTACAATTCGGGCACAGATGTAGTATAGGATACATACGCAATAGGACCAGCCCTTGCCCATTTGCTCGCTGTTGGCTCGCCATATGCTCTTATCTTCTTTCCATCACCCAGTATTTCTATACATCGCGGGTCCTTCTTAACTTGATCGGCGGCCCTGATGAATTGGTTGGTTTTACTCTCGGGCGCAAATACTTCTGTGTAGAGAAGATAGATGACGCCTCCCTGTATTGAGTTTCAGTGGTGAAGTGTGTGAAAACATTGCGATTTACATACCGTCAATACTGTGCCGATGAGGACAGTACCAAGGTTAAACGTTTGTTGCGTTGTTCTGGCAACCTTTTCACGCCGCGATAAGTCGCGCCAAGGAACTCTGCCATCATCGTTGAAGGTAGTGACGGCCTTTCTTTTTGGTTGTGATGAGGAACTTGTGGTACCTAAGCCAGTGTGTGTTGTGTAAAGCCGTGACAGGAGGAATGGTCGCAAAGATGAAGGGAGACTGAGCAGAGATACTGCTCTAATTGAAGGCAGCATTGTTGATTTGAGATGGTTTAGCTATCAATAGAAGAAAATAACAAAAGCCTAGTGTGAAGTTTGTGTTGTTGTTGGGAAGAAATTGAAATGCAGAAGTTGAGAAATGAAGGTATATACACACCTACGAAGTGTAAATTATTTTGAAGCTTCAAGCTGTTGTGGGGTAGTTGCGATCAGGGATTAGCGTAATACAACATCCCTGCGACACAGAATCTTGCCTATTTATTTATTTATTTATTTATAGTGATTAATATCTAATATCTAATCTCCCAAGAGGTATTCTAGACATACTAAGGAGTGGGCCTACAGGCCATTAATATTCCAGCTGCTTATAATAATATAATGTTAGCTAATTAGAGGCTTGTTGTTTCTAGTGTTTCCCCACTTAGTATCACTTATAGCAATCCTGTGACTGTTTTATCTAAGGGTTTGTGGTTTTGTTTTAGAGGGTCTTGTTTTGTATATCATCTGGTATTAGTAAATGATCAGATCGATTACTGTCGATCGGGAGAATGCTTAGAGTGTTTATAACTGGTTGGTGCGAATCTTAGGTTGATTAAAGTAAAAAGCTTATCCTCGGGATATTGGAGCAGATTGGAATTTGTATAGTTTCATATAATTTGAGTATATCTTAATATAAAATCTGGATCTAGTGAGAAGGTTAATAAAGCTATATTATATTTACAAAATGTAGTTGATATATGCTATCGTATTTCATTTGGATCGAAATCGATTTGATATAAATAGTTAATCGTTATACATCTAATTATTGATTGAATATTGAAAGAATATAATAAGCTTTTCTTATTCTTATATATACAAATGTTTATATTATTTTCATAATTGAATTTAACATAATAAACTGCAAAATTACTATATCTGATTCGTATTGCTATAAATCTATATAATATCCTACAAAAAAGCTTGAGACTTTTTAGTTTCAAAATATTATATATCGGTTTCCATATATTATATATTTTGAAAATCAGGCCTCTTTTTCCTTCCATTATTTGTTCTCGGAGTACTGATATTTAATATATAAATAAAGTGGGAGCTGCTGACTATAGGGAAACAGAATAGATTAAAGTCAAGCAGCCTAATTATACTTTAATTAGTAAGGCAATTAGCTGCCTTATTGTCCTTAATCTCAATATGCTTAGGGGACCATTTGATTATAATATTATAATATTGTATTATTTGATGGCATTTGTAGTATATCTATAAGAAAAAGCAGTAATGCTTTTTTGTATTTTTCAGATTATTAAGATGCTATCAATATATAACCATATTCGTTTCTGATAGGGGCAATCAATGATGCTCAGGAGGTGTTCTAGTTCTTGTTATATGTCGATCGCCTTAGTGTCAAAAACATGCGACTATTCGCGTATACGGCCGTAGCCGCTATCGATCTGTTGCTTGTCGCGGTAGATTGCAAAGCCGTACCCCACGCGAGAATCTTGCCTACAACGTTCGAATATAATGATTAGATCATTCAGATAGGAATATTATCATCTAAATGCTAATATTATAGAGTCTTTTTAAGATAAAGAGTAAAAAATTCATCTTTTCAGTATCGATCGCTAATTTTCAATGAATATCGTATAATTATATAATCGTATAATCTAATCGTATAATCGATTTGAAATCTGATATTAACTTATAAATCTAAATAATAATTTAAGCCGATTTTTTATAACTGTTTTATTATTATTATTATTATTATTACTTTTTATATCTTTTTAAGAAATTTAAAACAAAATATTTCTTTTTTAGATATTTAGATATTTAGATATTTTTACTTTTTGTTTTTTAATCTTTTTTTATTCTCTTTTTAGTAAATAGTTCTATAAACTAATCAAATATTGTAGATTATATAATCGTATAATTATAGGATTTTATAATTATACGATTATATAATCTATAACATTTATTAAAAAGTTAAATTTTATTTACTATTTATTTCAGAAAGACGTTATAAATATATTAAGCTCGATCTTATATAGTAATACGAGTTAAATATACTTTATTATAAGATATATTTAACTCTATCTACTTATTAAATAATAATAGAGGTTTGAAGTCATCTCTCCTCTTACTTAAACTATCGCGTAAGATTATAATCTTATTTAAAATATTACTATATCAATATAGATAAATAGCTTGAATTTAATAACTATTATACCAAATTTAAGCGAGTTTAAAAAAGACTGATTCTTTCTTTAATATCTATATAAGATCTATTATCTTCTATATATAGCTGACCTTTTTAACAAATCATAATATAAATATTTAGAATCTATAGATATATCTTGTATGTTCTTTTTAAACTAATACTAAGTGATAATTTTATAAATTGCTTAACTAACTATATAATAAAGATATAATAAATATAATGGAAAATATATCTTCTTTATATTACTTAATAAGAGTAAGAATAATAATTATTATTTTAATTATAAAAAGAAAGGTTATAGATATTATAAAGTACTAGACAAAAAAAGGGCCGTAGTAGAAAAACACACCAAAAATGATCATTATTCAAGCTTTTCATTTCTATATATTTAGAACATCTTTTAGTTTATTATTATGAAATTTTAATATAATATAGAAAATTATATTAATTTTAATAAAAAAGAGATGAATTTTTTTAATGAATTATTTCGCCCTGATATAATCAATTAAAATGGATTGAATTAAGGTTTTAGATTTTGTGACATTTTTTACTAGTAAATTCATCGTATTTTCGAATTTTTAATTTTTTCAATTTTAAATCATAATATCAAGATCAAATAAATCTCTAAAAATATTCTACTTACTTTTAATTAAAGTTTTATCGAATTTCTATCATATTTAAAAGTTTGAAATATAAATATTCAATTCATAAAGAATTATAGCTCTTTAAAAACACTGAAAAACAGCTATTTTTGGTGTGTTTTTAAGCTACGGCCCTTATTTTTTGTGGGTCACTGTAAGTATAATTTAAAAGGAAAAGATTCTTTAAAAAAAAGTCATTATAGATATTAGATGATAGAGTAATTGTTGGTTCAATAATGAGATCAGAAATACGGGAGACGTGGTTCCTACTATCAATAGGCCCCTAATTATCTGTATTGTATTCTGTCTAAAGAGCTAGCTAATAAGGGGAAATAATAGGCCTTATATAGATATTATTGAAAGAGCTAGTCTCCTTTGCATTTACCTAAATATCTTTAATATAGTAGCCATTATATTGAAGTTATTCTTTTAAAGTGAATTCCTTTGTTCATATATTCGGAATTCTCTTTTATAGCTTCAAATATAATGGCTGAAAAGAAATTTGTAAAATCATAAAAATCCTTTATTTGCTGGTTAAAGTCTCTGATCTCTTATTAGCAGAACTAATTCCTTCCTTTAATCCCATTCTATTTATTTTATTGCTTTGATATCGATCTTATTTGTATTGATCAGATCAGCAAGAGCTTGATATGGCTTTCCTTTTGTTATCGTATTGGCCGGATTAATCGGACTATTAATTCAAATCACTTCAACAATTTCTCTTTGCTTATAGGATTGATATAATACCATAATATCGATTATTAATCTCTTTTTACTAATCATTCCCAGTTTCGTAAATAGATTATATAATGACTTAAAATCAGTATACAAAATTAATAGAATCTTTTTGCCGAAAATAACGCTAACTATAGAAGTAATTGCTGTACCAATATCGAATCCCTGAATTAATCTATATAGCTTGAATATTAAAACATTGTATATAACTCTCTTATATTTAATAAATAATCAATAAATAATATTAGCATTATTGTATTTATCCATTATAATAATCATATAGCCTATTTGAAACGAATAGTCCTTATTATTCACAAAAGAAACATCAGCAAAAACAACAATCTTAAGTGAATCTAAGTCAAATGGTATATATTTAAGTTTTCTGGTAGAGTTTTCTTTTTGCTATTTGATATACTTGTTTAACGCCACAATATTATTCTTGTTAGGTTGGATTGTCTATACTACTATAGATAGATCGAAAGATACCTCAGATTGATATATAGTTGTAATGTATACTCCACGAGCTTGTTGTGCAACATACTATTTATATATAAAAGTATGCTTCCGAACCTTGCTACATATACTATGCATATCTATGGATTCTATAGATACGAGTTATAGATTGCTGTATTGCCTCTCCTAATCAAAATGAATATTATCACCTTTAAGTATAAGAATAATATTATTAAACTTTAATAGATAATCGTAAATGAATTTCTCGCAATCTTTAGTTATAAAGTCAGCTTGCTTAAATTACTTATCCTCAGTTTATATAAACACATTGTCCCCAATAATAAGTGTATTATCTATTTGAAGTTCTACAATACCGAATTCAATCCTTTTATTATTAATATGCAAAAGATAAGGGTTATATATAAATTACTGTATTTTAAGCTTCTTATAGTGATAAGTATGGTATATCCGGAATCAATAATTTTCTATCTTAGGAATATTATATAATAGTTTAACAATAAGTAAAATTATATTGGTTAATAAATTCATTTCTTTTAGAGTATAGATATAAAAAGTATAATATAAGTTCGAAATGAATTGAATATATATTTAAATAATATCTCGAATATATATTCCTATGCCTGTTTTTCGAGTATTTATAATTAGTAAGATTAAAATGTGTTGATATGATTATTGAATTATTGGGAATTGTATTAATACAAATATCTTATTAATATTATTATATACTTGAATGACTAGCCTCGATTTATGGAATTCAGTATCCGTTCCTTTATTTTTGATTTTATTAATAAATCGCAACTTAAAAATATATATACCAAAAGGAATATCCGAAAATAATATAATTTCGAATATATTTTTAGCTATCAATTCATCAATTTTTTTCTTTCTAAATTCCTTATATATAATAGGATTCTTAGGATTAGCAGTAAAACATTTAGGATAGTAATCTTGTATATAAACTCGAATCTGAGATATAATCATTTACAGGAAAAATGTTGGTATAAGCATCTGGTTGTTCTTGAATAAATCCAAAAGAGGTTCCTCTGGATTTGTTGTATATATGATCGCTGTTTCTGAAGAAAGCAATATAACTTTATTAGAATTTAGTAAAGTTACCTTAGGATTAATATTATAATCAATTTCTTTAATCTCCTCAATACATCCAGTTTTTAAATAC